CATCTATCTTCATTAGGTTACGGTGGGTGGATGGTTGGTTACATCACTAGGACGTGATGTGATGTGTATGGATTGGAGGCAGACTTCATACACATTTTCAAATGTAGATATGATAAGAGCTCAATAACCTCAAAAACCTGTACTGTCCAGCAGATGGATAGTCGAGAGGCGGGACCAAAGAGTCGAAGCTCAATCTCCGCAAGTACAACTAGGCGAGTACACACAAAACTTTATACTTAACACACTTCTTCCGTTGAGTGAGGGAATTTTCAATTTTATTTTCTTTCCTTATTATGCACCCCATACCCATCCTGTGGGCGGTGGGGGGGAAGGGTTACAGAGGTATATAATCTGTTCAGGAACTGAACCCCAGTTCATTTAGCTAAGCAAGTGAATCTTTTGAAGCTAGTTACACAATTGTTATTGTAACACACACAATCCTTTACACAAAAACATATATCATTAATATTTTCTATCACACATGTGCAAGCATTACCCACAGTAAGCAAATTTTGGATACTTGGCTAAGTGAGAGTGGTGGTGGTCCTGAGAATTAAATCTTAAGCCACTTAAGAAGGTAACCCTTAACCTCATGCGCGCAGCCTCATAAAACCGCAATCCCTTTTGCCTTATCAAAGGACCTTTAATATCAACATTCTACTTTATTATGCTATTAGTTAGATGGCTGAGAATGCGGTTAGCCGTGTTCTTGTCCTTTAACAAACCCGGTAACTTTTTCCCAGTATAAAAATATTGTATATGAGGCTATTGGGGATAATCTTTTTCCAGATTCTGCACGTGTTGGATACAGTACTGTATAAGAACTGTAATTACCACAATTCTTAGGTTTCAGCGTAGGAACACACACCGTACATTTTCACTGTACCACCACCACAGTATGACGTTGTTGAGTGGTTAAGCAAGGGGTTCCCAGAACACATCCTCCCCCCCCCTCCCCCCACATATGATTGGTCTTCCTTGTTACTAATGAGGTCATCCTCATCCTTCTATTATGCCTTGGTTGTCTCCTTATCTCGTAATGGACTTAAGGAGGATGTTGCAACACTTATTAATTCTCCAGTCTTACCCTTGGAGGTCGGTGTGGGCAACAAGCCTATCCCTTGTCCCCCCCCCCCTCCGTATCTATTTTGGTCCACATTCCCCTAACATCTCTTCCAAACCAACTTGTAAGTCTTAATCAATCTCAATCTCTCAATCAAGGTTTTCTCAAGGTTTTCAGCTTTAAGGAATTATTTATTTCAGTCTGATGCACTTTGCTTATGGCGGACATCTTTTAATAAATATTTATTTAGTAACTTTCCATCCCATCCTCCTGAAAGGGTACTACTTTTAGTAACTATTTGGTGGAAAGCATCAATATGTAGTGATGGACAATCAGTAAACCACTATTTATAGTATTCTGCACGATCTAGATACTCTGATAATTGTTCTCTCTCTCTCTCCCTCCCTCCTCACCTTCTCCACCCACTCGCTTGACTCGCTTGACTCATCCCAACTTACCTCTCCACATTCCACTCCTCCATTCACCCGCCATGAGCCATAGCCTCCCCACCTCTCATGTGACAGTGAGCGCGCCTCTTCTACCCGCCATAACCCCGCCACGCCTGGCGCCCGCCACAGGCTCCTTACACCTCTCAACCCTCCGCCACTTCCCGGATATTCACTAGGGAGGGGCGGGAAGCCCATACACCGGGGAGGGGCGGGAAGCCCATACACCGGGGAGGGGCGGGAAGCCCATACACCGGGGAGGGGCGGGAAGCCCATACACCGGGGAGGGGCGGGAAGCCCATACACCGGGGAGGGGCGGGAAGCCCATACACCGGGGAGGGGCGGGAAGCCCATACACCGGGGAGGGGCGGGAAGCCCATACACCGGGGAGGGGCGGGAAGCCCATACACCGGGGAGGGGCGGGAAGCCCATACACCGGGGAGGGGCGGGAAGCCCATACACCGGGGAGGGGCGGGAAGCCCATACACCGGGGAGGGGCGGGAAGCCCATACACCGGGGAGGGGCGGGAAGCCCATACACCGGGGAGGGGCGGGAAGCCCATACACCGGGGAGGGGCGGGAAGCCCATACACCGGGGAGGGGCGGGAAGCCCATACACCGGGGAGGGGCGGGAAGCCCATACACCGGGGAGGGGCGGGAAGCCCATACACCGGGGAGGGGCGGGAAGCCCATACACCGGGGAGGGGCGGGAAGCCCATACACCGGGGAGGGGCGGGAAGCCCATACACCGGGGAGGGGCGGGAAGCCCATACACCGGGGAGGGGCGGGAAGCCCATACACCGGGGAGGGGCGGGAAGCCCATACACCGGGGAGGGGCGGGAAGCCCATACACCGGGGAGGGGCGGGAAGCCCATACACCGGGGAGGGGCGGGAAGCCCATACACCGGGAAGGGCGGGGAAGCCCATACACCGGGAAGGGCGGGAAGCCCATACACCGGGAAGGGCGGGAAGCCCATACACCGGGGAGGGGCATATTGACGGGGGGAGGGGGAGGACATACACGTACGTGTGATGATGGGTGGAGACGGACTCCATACATAGACCCATATGTAGATACAAGAGCTTAAAAGGCGCGGGAAACTCTACATCAGTTGAGAAGCGAGATCAAAGAGCCGAAGGTCAACCCCCGCAAGCACAACTAGGCGAGTACACAACATACGTACGTCATCTATCTAAACATCTATCTTTTACCACCACCACTTCAATATAACCTATTAGGGAACAATGTATTTACTCAACACTTGGTAGCAGTAAAAACATCTGACAAGCATACTTAATCTCCATGTTTTTTTTTATCAAATACAACGTAAGCTATTTAGCAACAAATACAATTTGTACGTAGCTTACAGAGATTCTCCAACCCAAACCTTCCCAACTTAACAAGTAAAATTTAGCATCTTGTATTACGGGCTATTCATGCCCGTGCCACTTCTTGGGTGGCTGAAACTTCATTAATCAATCAATCAGCACCTTGTGACAAGTTTAAGGGCTCGTTCCACCCTGGGAGCCTAAGATATGGGCACGTTCCACCCTGGGAGCCTAAGATATGGGCACGTTCCACCCTGGGAGCCTAAGATATGGGCACGTTCCACCCGTAGCCTAAGATATGGGCACGTTCCACCCTGGGAGCCTAAGATATGGGCACGTTCCACCCTGGGAGCCTAAGATATGGGCTCGTTCCACCCTGGCAGCCTAAGATATGGGCACGTTCCACCCGTAGCCTAAGATATGGGCACGTTCCACCCTGGGAGCCTAAGATATGGGCTCGTTCCACCCTGGCAGCCTAAGATATGGGCACGTTCCACCCTGGGAGCCTAAGATATGGGCTCGTTCCACCCTGGCAGCCTAAGATATGGGCACGTTCCACCCGCAGCCTAAGATATGGGCACGTTCCACCCGCAGCCTAAGATATGGGCACGTTCCACCCGAAGCCTAAGATATGGGCACGTTCCACCCTGGGAGCCTAAGATATGGGCTCGTTCCACCCTGGCAGCCTAAGATATGGGCACGTTCTACCCGCAGCCTAAGATATGGGCACGTTCCACCCTGGGAGCCTAAGATATGGGCTCGTTCCACCCTGGGAGCCTAAGATATGGGCACGTTCTACCCGTAGCCTAAGATATGGGCACGTTCCACCCTGGCAGCCTAAGATATGGGCACGTTCCACCCTGGCAGCCTAAGATATGGGCTCGTTCCACCCGTAGCCTAAGATAAGGGCACGTTCCACCTGGTACCTGGCAGACAACTCGAGTCGTCTGTAATCTGATACAGCTTATCTCCACTCTCCGAAACTGCTCATTTAACTAATATCTAATTTAACTAATTTTCATTTAACAGATAGCGCAATAGGCATCAGTTAAACTTTAACAGAGCTACACAAACAGGTTTATGTACATTATCGCACAAAGATGTCGAGGAATATATATGGTGGTAGACTATTCCACAGGATGGATGTGGAATCCCCCCCCCTCCCCACACACACACAAAAAGGAAAATAGTTGAAACATTCAATTCTTTGATTAGTGAAGCCAAGCAAACTGTGAGCAGCTTTAGAGCGAGTGTTGGGGGACCATACTTCAATACTGCTTGATGGTATTCTGGGAGCAGTTATACTCCCCGAGCCCGGCCCGGGGCCAGGCTTGACTTGTCGAGAGCTTGGTCCAACGGGCTGTTGCTTCGAGCGGCACGAAGGTTCACATATCCACCACAGGAGGGACCACCAAAGTGCCAAATACCCGGGCCAGCAGACTCCCAGCGTCACAAGAGTGCCATCTGAGCCAGCATTGGCACTTGAGAGAGCCCATTATGTGCCTCTGTAACCCTTTCCACAAGATGGGTATGGAGTGCATAATAAATGAACTAAACTTCATCCATTCATGTGGACGAGGAACCAGTGGGTTGAGCGGGTGTCACTGTGGTGTGCGTAAGATGGGGATCCGGGTCGTAAGATACATGACGTAAGAGGGCCTCGGGCCAGAGATAAAGATGCTGTGACCTTATGCTAATACACTTCCTCATTCTCATGGGCGACACACATTACAGTGATATATTAACAGGCGGCTCAAGTGCACGAGACCAGCATTCACAGAGGACACGGCAAGCCTTCAACTCATAAAACATACTTTCCAGTAAGACAGACAATAATATATTTAATGAGGATTCACCATCCCCACACACACACCAAATATGTATTTAAACGAACTGTATAAAGAAACCGAACTACACGAGTGAAATAAAAACAAATTGAAGCTGTAAAGTCAATTTTAATCAAAATCGTAGCAAATGATTTACTCCATGTAAAGCCTTTATACAACATAGTATTGTGCAAAAGCTCTATTAATACCGTAATTCTGCATTTACTGATGAAATCTCGTTATGTTGTCGGTTACAGAGCTACCACCTGCACCTAGACAAAGATGGAAGAGGCATGAACTAACCTGAGAGCAGCGTGCACAACACACAGGTACTGACCTGAGATGAGGATGCAGTGGTCCGTGATCTCTGCCACCATAGACCTGTAGGCGTTCTCTGTGATGGCGAACCTGTAGAGCAAAATGGGAATTAGTGCCAGGCCTGATCTTGCCTGCCACGCACGCATGCACGCACACTTACCAACACAACATCAATATCTGTCCTCTTGTGCTCTGGGGTTAATTATTTCACTAACTATGCAAAATTGTAATTAATTTTGTCAATAAAGATGTTAATAATAAATAACTAACTGGTTCTGAACTTTCTTATTTAGTATAACGATGAAGATATTACCTGTATACCGCACATGCTTGTACCAGGCGTTGCTAACCTTCAAAAAATGGCTAGAACGAAATGGCACATCACTAGAGCTTACAATATAGCTTCTCACTTGCTGAACAATGTTATTTACACGCATTTTCCTGTCTATTTTACAAAGGTGATGTGTCAGGAGCATCCTAGTACAGTACAGCTGAAGGGTTCACACTAGGGCTGGAGCGGCCAACACCAGCAGCGGCAGTAGTAGAGTTGGAACATGCAAGATCTTACCTGTTACCTATGATTATACACAGTACACTAGGGTGTGGGTAAACCCCACCGCATAGGATCGAACCTTCATCACGGCTCCTACTGATTTTCTTGATTATATTGTGTAGCTACTGATATAGTTGCCAGACAGGACGACGTTTTGCTCAACAACAACGATCTAGGGATACGACACGGGATAGCAACTAATCTAAAGAACGGCCTATTGACATAGCTCGAGTGCATGGGGGAGTTGTGTAAGACCCTGGTTTGTGTCTCAGAGAGGCTGCAGGATCCAGTAAGTTCAGTAGAACTTCGGTTTAACTGTTTTGACCATGTCGTAGATCAGTTGATAAAGACAGCGTCTGGGATGGTCTCGGACGTAATTTCGAATCCTCGTCACGGCCCTTGTGGATTTGTTCCATCTAAAGAACGCCTGGTGATGCCTGGCCTGAAGGCTCACTACTCCCACCTGGCGCTATGCTCGGTGTGCACAATATTGGCGGGAGAGATGGTGGATATTCAGGGATAACAAATGTAGGTTTTATATATTTCAAAGGTTGACAAAATGGAATCCCGCCAATGAGCGAGGACTTAGGCTAGAAGTCAAATGCAATTATTTTGAAATTTTAGAGCAAATTAAATGTTGAAAATCTGTTTTACTGTTCATAAGGCAAAAGTCGACTTAACATTATGAGGCATATTTTGGAAGAGCAGCAATATCACATGACGTCAATGGTGACAATGTGTAACACACTAATATGACGCATCAGTAAATACATGACTTGTTCTTACAAGCTTCACACCGTCCAGTTAACAAGTTTAGTGCTATACAACCCCCCCCCAGCTCTTCCTCTGATTCTTCAAAGATTTCCTGTCATTTGGTACCTTATATCCTGCCTACTGCTCCCAGTACCGTTTCATTATTTTGCACTCTGTTGAGTTTAACTTGTAACCATCTGTTTGACCATTCTTTCAGTTTTCCCGGTCGTATTTAATTTGTAAATCTTCTACCGTGTTTTTTTCTTGTATAATCTCCTTGTGTTTGCCTGCAGTTAGTTCCGATGGCCCTGCTCTCCAAGGTGGCATGGGGACACACTTGCCTGGTGATAATTGATAAGATTGCTGCACCCCGTTCTTGTCTCTCCTCAAGTCCCTGTACCTTTTCCATGACATTCAGCTCGCCATTGTTCCACTACAAATTATATTGAACAATGGTCCGCTTCTCTCCTCGTTCTCCAAGGCCTCGTGTACGTCTTCCTCAGCTTCTCATTATTTCAAGGTGACAGTTCATTTATATAAAAAGGTATATATTTTAATTTTGACGAACTTTGAACTGATGGGACGTAAGCAGATTCCGTGTATGAATTTGTAATTAGATCTGACAGAACCCAAGGAGCTCCGGGGCAAGTAAACTAGTCAAAGATTGAGAAACAAGACCAGAGAGCGGCATGCTAAACTCGCAAGTAGTAATCCTGCTCTTGGAATGGCCTCTTGGGCGATACATAGCGTCTTTGGAATGTCAAGTGACACAGACGGCACTACATCGTCCTCCCAGCTTGGTGCCCTCCTGGGAAAACTACCTACTGTCAAGTCATTCTAACCCGAGCCAACCCATCCTTACCTAACCGCAATTAAAACAAAAGTTGCATTCTATGTGTGTTATGTACAAAGCATATCATGTCACTATGACCTCAATTTTAAACCGGCTCAGGTTTGAGTTTAGTGGACTGAAGGAGGACAACACTGAGGCTCAGAGCTCTGCGGGTCACAACCTGCCGCCCCTCACAGTGAGGGCCTGGTAACTCCACCTCCACAGTCAAGTGCCCTCACAATCTCTGCTAACTTCCGCGGCACTCCGCACCACTGCCAAATATTATTTTATGGGGGCACTTCAAAAAGAACATTAAGCTTTTGTTTTGCCTATTTACAATATACACCTCCCACTGCAACTTCATTTACTCTAGTATGTGTGTGTGGGGGGGGGGGGGGAGAGTTGTCTAGGAGGGGAGCATACACGATGCTGCAGTACACAGGGGGTGGCGACTGCTTACCGAGTTACGGGCTATTCATGCCCGTGCTCCCTTTTGTGTGGCTTAATCTTTATCAATCAATCTGCTTACTGAGTGACAGGAGGCATCACCACGACACGGCCCCGCGCACCAAACATTAATCCAACACACACACCTGAACACGTTGTACTGAACGGGGTGATAATAGCTTGAGTAACCTCATCCCTTTGTATGTATTTATACCTCAATAAAGTTATTTCAGTTTAAAGACATGTTGGGAGTACTCACACATGGGGCGGCACCTCGTAGAAATTGACGTTCCTGTACCTCTCGAGGCATTCCTCTGTGTACAGACCAAGGTCCTTGTAGGGGTTCACGGAGATCACCACCTGCCCGATGTAAGTCTGTACAAAAAAGGACAAATACAATGTTTAATAAACCAAACACGGGGCAATATGGCAAATTTATAACAAATTATTCCCAAGTTAAAAAAAAAAAGCGGTAGCCAAACGACTGCGCCAGTCTGTTACCTAGAGTTGGTACAACAAGGATCAATGTGTTCCAGGCACGGTTTCTTACCTTAAACGCACTGCTACGTGCGGTCCGACAAGAATCACAGCCCGGTTGATCTGGACCCGTTTTCATAAGCAGTTACGCAAGTACTTACGAACGTGTACATCTTTCCTCAATCTTTGACGGCTTTGGTTACATTTATTAAACAAGCATGAAAACTTCCCAATCAACTACTACTGTTGTTATAAACAGCCTCTGGTGCTTCGGAGCTCAATTAACCGTTTAATAATTGTAAACAAAGCCGCCAAAGATTGAGAAAAGATACACAGGTTCGTAAGTGCTTGCGTAACTAACGAAATTATCTCTGTGCAGATTTTGGAACGATTTCCTTTAAGATTTCCAGATGTAAATAATATCTGCTGTGCACCCGCTATAATATTCTAAGCGGTCCTAGCAATTTAGCCATTATATTTAGTAGATTGCAGAAGTGCAATAGATATCCCAAGAGAATTATATCAATATTAAAGGCGCAAGACTTCTCAATTCTCCACCATATAATGTAAGGGGCCTAACTAGCCGGCCCCGCACAACACACCCCCAGAGGCAACCCGTCCTCAGGCCAGGCTTGTTAGAGGAGCGTCACTCCCCAGACACGCATTCGTCAATGTTAATATACTGTGTAATCAAAATTAGTTTGTTCTCGTATATAAATTATTACACAATAAAATTCAATTCATGTTAGTTGTAGGTTAGGGTGTAGTGGATATGTGGGCCGTTCCAAGCAACAGCCTGTTGGACCAAGCTCACTAGTCAAGGCCAGGAGCTTGTGGAGAAGAACTCCCAGAGCCCCATCCAGGTACAATCCAGGTTAGGTGTTAGGTTATGTTGGCGATTGTTTGTTTGTATTACATGGGTGAAGCATTTACAAAGACAGAAGTCACGACCTCTCCGTAGGGTGCAGTCGCATCGCCAAAGATCTCCAGTATCAGCTCTTGATACTGGTAATGGCTCCAAAGGGCCACTACTTACGGGCTATTCATGCCCGTGCCACCTTTCGGCTGGCTTAATCTTCTTCAATCAGTTACAGACTTGCAATTCGAGCGGAGGACGTCAGCGAAGCACTGCTGGAGACGTGCATCCGCCAACAGTCTAATAAACAGTTTTCCTTCATAAACAAGACGTTTGGCGGCTGGATTAACGCGTATTTGGTCTTTGTTGATAAGGCCGGGCTGCCAAAGGATATGTGATCAACTGGCCGTGATTCATACGTCAGACTACGAGCAGTGGCGTCTAACAGACTGGTTACCTGGAGCATACCTGGAGAGTTTCGCGAGTTCTTCTACCCCTTGACCCCGGCCTGGGGGGCCCAGGTTCGACTTGGGATAACTTGGTCCAACAGTCTTGGTTATCTTGAGATGATGAGATGAGATGATTTCGGGGCTTTTTAGTGTCCCGCGGCCCGGTCCTCGACCAGGCCTCCACCCCCAGGAAGCAGCCCGTGACAACTGACTAACACCCAGGTACCTATTTTACTGCTAGGTAACAGGGGCATAGGGTGAAAGAAACTCTGCCCATTGTTTCTCGCCGGCGCCTAGGATCGAACCCAGGACCACAGGATCACAAGTCCTGCGTGCTGTCCGCTCGGCCGACCGGCTCCAAGGGAGCCGGTCGGAGCGGCCCGCAGGCCCACATAGCCACTACAGCCTGGTTGGTTTAGAACTTCTTGCAAGAACCTGTCCAAGTGCCTCTTGAAGACTTCCACCTTTATTCCGCCAATGTTTCTAATGCTTGCTGGGAGGGTGTTGAACAGCTGTGGACCCCTGATGTTCAGTATTCTCTGTGCCTATGGCACCTCTACTCCTCACTGGTTCTATTCTATATTCCTTCTGTATCTTTCGCTCCAGTTTGTTATTCTATTGTGCAAATTTGGGACCTGGCCCTCCAGTATCTACCATGAATATATTATTTGATACATTTCTCGTCTCCTTTCCAGAGAGTACATTTTGAGAGCTTTGAGACCGTCCCAATCATTTAGGTGCTTTATCGTGTCTATGTATGCCGTATACGTTCTGTATTCACCTAATTCAGAGATTTCTCCTGCTCCGAAAGGGAAAGCGAGTACTGAGCAATACTCAAGATGCGACATAGTCTGGTTGACCAGACAACCAACCAGAAAGCCTGATCAGAGACCGGGCCGTGAGGACACTGATCCTCTGAACCACCTCGAGGTAAACCAATCAACATTAGCCAACGTCATTACAGGTGAGGACCAATCACTACGCTTCATGCTTCAATGTTCCGTAAACACAAGGGTGGTGGTGGTGGGCCAGACGACCCAGTTTACTGCTCGGAGACTGGACATTGCCTCAGTGGCCAACTCAGGAAATGACCCAAAAATAACACACTAAGGCCATGTAGCAACACGCCCAAATACACCATGACTTCAGTGCTTCAGGAAACTTGCGTAATTATACAGTTTCACTTCCCAAAGTACCATCCTTTCTCTGAGGATTTGTACACATTTGTGTCCTTCAGAATCCGTCCACTTTGTCTACTCTTGAATAAGTGTGAAAGTAGTGTACTTCAATTTCTATATAAACTAGGACACTAACAACTAGTGTCCTAGTATTCCACTGCCCCCTAGGATACTAGGGGGCAACAAGACTCTAGTATTCAGGTAGGTGAATCCAATTGTCAACACAAATTGGAAAATTTCAACTTGAGGTTGAAATCTTTACTACAACTCCATGACTATAATCCTGCTAATATCTAATCTATCCCCCGTGGTTCATCAGGCGACCTGGTTAAATTGAGTACCACCTAGAGTCATACACAGTGGTCCCCTATGATAGTCAGCCACTCCAGCCTGTCTGTGTGTTATAGGCTAGTTGCTTGCCTGCCTGCCTCTCCCCACAAACGTCACCATAAGCCACAAAGCGTGGTGTCAACAAAGCGTGGTGTCAACAAAGCGTGGTGTCAACAAAGCGTGGTGTCAAACACACCGCCCACAATCACCTCTCTTCACTGGATGTCACCCACGCCTCGCTCCGCACCTGGGTTTTAATTACCTGCTCGCGGATGACGCTTTTATTGTTTGCGTCACCCCAGCTGCCGAGGAGGGGGGGAGGGAGAGGGGAGGAGGGGGAGAGGATAGGTCGAGGAGGAAGGTGGGAGGGGGAAGAGACGCCACGGGAATCCCCCACACCAATGGCTACCACACCTATGTGCTGATAGCCTTGCTTGTGCTTCCAGTCAAGTGGTTTTTGTTTGGAATATGTTTTTGTATGCGCTCGCTGAGTAGTTGTGCATGAAGGGTCAAGCAACAGCTCCTGAGCTCCAGCTTCTCGGTTGTTAGTTATCAAATCCAATAGCATCTGACTTGTAGACTTCATCTCGCCTGCTGATCCAAACTAAGCAACGTGTTAGCCTCAACTATCTCCCCCCCCCCTTTACCTTACCTTGGCCATACCTTGGTAAGAGATCAAGTTCTGAGAGTCGTGCTACTCCCGGCCCGGCCCGGCCCGGGCCTCTTAGGTCAGTTGTATCACAGTGTGCTTCCATCCATCCCCAGGTCACATTCCAGTAACCAGTTATTAAAAATAGCTTCATTCTGTCGTGACCACGAGAGACGCCCCGCTCCTGTGCCAGGTAAGTTACGGGCTCACCATAGTCCGTGCTACTTGGAACTTATTCCGAGAAGCTGAATCTATAACAACAACAACATATCGTGACCGTGTATACCTTTTGGCGCCTGACAGCTGGGTGGACAGCGCTTCGGATTCGTAGTCCTGAGGTTCCGGGTTCGATCCCCGGTGGAGGCGGAGACAAAGGGGCAAAATTTTTCTTTCACCCTGATACCCCCGTTACCTAGCAGTAAGTAGATACCTGGGAGTTACAGCTGCTACGGGCTGCTTCCTGGGGGGTGTAACAAAAAGAAGGCCTGGTCGAGGACCGGGCCGCGGGGACGCTAAGCCCCGAAATGATCTCAAGATAACCTCAAGATAATCCTGCATGCAACGCCCACCCCCCCCCCTCCAAGAGAGCACTATCCAGCGTCTCTCCCCACCCCGTCAACACTCCACAAACCACTACTCACATATATGATGTTTTGTTGGTAGCGTTTCTTGAGGTTGTCGATGAAGACCTTTTCGTTGAGGTAGTCCTCGAGGAGGATGGCATCAGGCACCCCGATCCTGGCTCGGTCCTCCAACACGCTCTCCATCCTGAGCAGCGGCTTCTTCCTGCAGGAAACACACACACACACATTAATTTCCACCACCCAAACAATCACCTCGCCGACATGCCAAGTAACCTCCAAACATTGCAACTTGCATAATTCTCAGACGTGCACGTCCCGCCATTATACAAACAACACTAACAGCGTCGGTTTATTATTTGGAAAGCATTGGTTTAACATGGATAAAAATGGTTAGACTGAACAAAGGGGATGAAAGTCAGCCGAGGCACATTAGTTCTGGCAGGCGTCCCAGAACATTGCCTTGTGGGACCCCGCTTGTCAGTCCTCCAGCTTGAAAACACCTCTCTGACGGACTTTACTTTCTATCCTTCAGATACTCCCTTACCCAGTTTAGCGTTTTCTCGGCGTTACAAGTCTTCCATAGGCAACAGTGTCAAGTGTTTTGAGTATAAAACAAAACTGCATTCTATCCAGCCTTCCTTTACCTGTATTTTTGTAACCTGGTCATAAAACTCATCAAGCTTGGCAGTCACAACTTGCCATTTCTATATGCTGATTTTTTGGTCACGTAGTGGCTCCTCTCAACATGTTCCACCATTCTCGACTTGGTTACTTTCTCCAGCACTTTACAAGGAATACTTATCACCGACTCCCGTCTGTAATTTAGCACATCCTTTCTTTCCCTCTTTTTTTGAAGACTGACAACGTTTGCGTTTTGGTGTATGTTTGAAGTGGTGGTGACAGGAGGCACGATCTCGTTACACAACTACCAAAAACAGTCCGTGTACATTTATTACTAGAATCCTTCACCAAGCTGAAAGAAGGCCAGACAGTACTGATACTTATGGAACAAGTTCGCCAGTTCGCTGAGCTACGTTGAAGGTGAGGCGTTGCTCTCTATGCCACACTTGCCAGTCTGGTTTTACCTGTGGAGTTCTAACTACCTTCACATTGTAATTGTCGGATGTGGCTACATAACTGAGCACGGAGGTGGGAGAGACCCCACTTACTAATACATCTGATGAGTACACTCAAGGATAAACAGATTCTAGGAAGGACTAGGATGCAACTACAAGTTTCCACTTCCAATGAATGTACTGTGGTGTGTATGTGTGTGCATCTGTCCCCTGGAGATTACCTACCCCCCCCCCTCTCTCTCTCTCTCCATGATAAACTATCCCCCCCCCCCCTCCACCTTCCGCCACTCACGCTAGAGTGTAACATTATTCGGGAGGCGGGAAACTAGGCCACAAGCCGTCATTTCCAGTGCTTGTCAGGTATTGATGCAACGGAGGCCTTGTGCCGACTAACATACAATTAAGGTGATGTGGTGAAAGCTGCTTACACCTCTAAATACCAAGATGAGTGCCCGAGGGAAGACGTTGCCAGGAGGAGGAGGGAGAAGAAGAGGGGGAGAGATGGGGAAGAGGGGGGAAGTGGGGGGAGGGGGGTTAATATACGAGTACTACAAATATGAATGATCAGCAGAAATAAGTGTGTTAAAGCGAGAAAGAAGAAATGGAGGTAGAGGTGAATAAGGGAGATTAATATTATAGGAAGAACGGCCCAGTGGACGAAGAGAACGGTTCTTACGGAGGCAGACAGTGCTAACCACCACACCTGACGGATCAACCGGGAACCCGACCCCCTCAAACCACAGACCAGGAAAACATTTGAATAATTTCAGAAGCAAAACCTTGAGGAATGGAGCCATCTTGTGGTGATGAGGAGGAGGTAGTGGCGGCAACAATGAGAGCCACCAGGCAGACATTACACCGCTACACAATCTCTATTTTGGCCTAGTTGAACGGCAATCTTCTCCCCACCCCTCCCCCCTCCCACCCTTTCAGCCATACAAGACCAGTGTTGACCAGGCCACTCACTAGAAGGTGAAGGGACGACGACGTTTCGGTCCGTCCTGGACCATTCTCAAGTCGATTGTCGTCCCTTCACCTTCTAGTGTGTGGTCTGGTCAACATACTTCAGCCACGTTATTGTGACTCGTCGCCTGCATACAAGACCAGTCTTAGGAAAAATAAAGGTCAAGCTCACCTCACAATTTGTATATAAATCTATCAACATAAATGACAACCTTGATGTGGGTTCCGAGGAACCATGTCTCCGCAGCCCGGTCTCTGACTAGGCCTCCTGGCCTGGTCAACCAGGCTGTTAGACGCCGCTCATTGTAGTCTTATGTATGAATTATAACCCAGCTGAGCAGGTACAATATATTCTTCGTTATTTTGCCAAATAATTTTTTGTGGATTTAAGATATTAGGCAAACATAATCATCATTCCCTGAACCACCAGACTTGGTTCCGAGAAGAGTTCTCCTCCCAAGCCCAGATTGGAGTCCGGCTTAAGTTGCGACACCTTTATCTAAAACCGTTTCTTAGAACACACCGCTGGTCCAGATACCCACTACAACACCCTTAGTGTTAAACAGTATCCACAGTCTCACCCTCACCACGCCACAAACCATCACAATAAAACAGCATGATACTGAGAGGGGGTGAATGTGCCCAAGCGTCTCGACATGCGCGACGGCACCTTCATCTCTGAACACAACCCGACGCCACTCATCACTCGAGCCTCGTCAAGTTCATAGGACTCGAGGGCTCTTAACATTTGTTAGGATTACAGCCTCCCATCACCACCAATCCGCTCTCTTAAGAAAACCGGAATTTTATTATTTGGTTGCCATATCACCAAGGGAAAAAATTATATTATATATTATATATATATATATATATATATATATATATATATATATATATATATATATATATATATATATATATATATATATATATGTGTGTGTGTGTATATATATATTATATATATATATATTATATATATATATATATATATATATATTATATATATATATATTATATATATATATATATATATATATATATATATATATATATATATATATATATATATATATATATATATATATATATGTCGTACCTAGTAGCCAGAATTCACTTTTCAGCCTACAATGCAAGGCCCGATTTGCCTAATAAGCCAAGTTTTCATGAAATAATATATTTTCTCTAATTTTTTTCTTATGAAATGATAAAGCAACCCATTTCATTATGTAAGAGGTCAATTTTTTTTTATTGGAGTTAAAATTAACAGATATATGACCAAACCTAACCAACCCTACCTAACCTAACCTAACCTATCTTTATAGGTTAGGTTAGGTTAGGAAGCCGAAAAAGTTAGGTTAGGTTAGGTTAGGTAGGTTAGGTAGTCGAAAAGCAATTAATTCATGAAAATTTGGCTTATTAGGCAAATCGGGCCTTGCATAGTAGGCTGAGAAGTGCGTTCTGGCTACTAGGTACGACATATATATATATATATATATATATATATATATATATGTTTGCGTTTTGGTGTATGTTTGAAGTGGTGGTGACAGGAGGCACGATCTCGTTACACAACTACCAAAAACAGTCCGTGTACATTTATTACTAGAATCCTTCACCAAGCTGAAAGAAGGCCAGACAGTACTGATACTTATGGAACAAGTTCGCCAGTTCGCTGAGCTACGTTGAAGGTGAGGCGTTGCTCTCTATGCCACACTTGCCAGTCTGGTTTTACCTGTGGAGTTCTAACTACCTTCACATTGTAATTGTCGGATGTGGCTACATAACTGAGCACGGAGGTGGGAGAGACCCCACTTACTAATACATCTGATGAGTACACTCAAGGATAAACAGATTCTAGGAAGGACTAGGATGCAACTACAAGTTTCCACTTCCAATGAATGTACTGTGGTGTGTATGTGTGTGCATCTGTCCCCTGGAGATTACCTACCCCCCCCCCTCTCTCTCTCTCTCCATGATAAACTATCCCCCCCCCCCACCTTCCGCCACTCACGCTAGAGTGTAACATTATTCGGGAGGCGGGAAACTAGGCCACAAGCCGTCATTTCCAGTGCTTGTCGGGTATTGATGCAACGGAGGCCTTGTGCCGACTAACATACAATTAAGGTGATGTGGTGAAAGCTGCTTACACCTCTAAATACCAAGATGAGTGCCCGAGGGAAGACGTTGCCAGGAGGAGGAGGGAGAAGAAGAGGGGGAGAGATGGGGAAGAGGGGGGAAGTGGGGGGAGGGGGGATAATATACGAGTACTACAAATATGAATGATCAGCAGAAATAAGTGTGTTAAAGCGAGAAAGAAGAAATGGAGGTAGAGGTGAATAAGGGAGATTAATATTATAGGAAGAACGGCCCAGTGGACGAAGAGAACGGTTCTTACGGAGGCAGACAGTGCTAACCACCACACCTGACGGATCAACCGGGAACCCGACCCCCTCAAACCACAGACCAGGAAAACATTTGAATAATTTCAGAAGCAAAACCTTGAGGAATGGAGCCATCTTGTGGTGATGAGGAGGAGGTAGTGGCGGCAACAATGAGAGCCACCAGGCAGACATTACACCGCTACACAACCTCTATTTTGGCCTAGTTGAACGGCAATCTTCTCCCCACCCCTCCCCCCTCCCACCCTTTCAGCCATACAAGACCAGTGTTGACCAGACCACTCACTAGAAGGTGAAGGGACGACGACGTTTCGGTCCGTCCTGGACCATTCTCAAGTCGATTGTCGTCCCTTCACCTTCTAGTGTGTGGTCTGGTCAACATACTTCAGCCACGTTATTGTGACTCGTCGCCTGCATACAAGACCAGTCTTAGGAAAAATAAAGGTCAAGTTCACCTCACAATTTGTATATAAATCTATCAACATAAATGATAACCTTGATGTGGGTTCCGAGGAACCACGTCTCCGCAGCCCGGTCTCTGACTAGGCCTCCTGGCCTGGTCAACCAGGCTGTTAGACGCCGCTCATTGTAGTCTTATGTATGAATTATAACCCAGCTGAGCAGGTACAATATATTCTTCGTTATTTTGCCAAATAATTTTTTGTGGATTTAAGATATTAGGCAAACAATCATCATTACCTGAACCACCAGACTTGGTTCCGAGAGGAGTTCTCCTCCCAAGCCCAGATTGGAGTCCGGCTTAA